ATTATATATCACCTATAATCTCTACTACAGCAGGAGTACGGACAGCTTGTTTTCCATTAACTGTAAATAGAAATTACTTTAATCTTTCCTAAAATGTTTACGTGTAATTGGAGAAGTGTCTGATAAAAAAAAAAAGATAAAGTTCTATAAACTATGATTACACAACAAAGCACACTCTGTTATATTAAATTAATTAAAATGTAGATAGATTAATGATAATAAATTAAATTCCACTGTAAACACGGAAAACGAGTCATGATACAAAATGGGTATATCTTTGTTACTTTGTTGCCTGTGTCTTAGTTTTTCTCTATTGATAAATGGTAGTACTTTGTATCATAATTTATATTTTCAAAATGCTTCAGAGGCATGTAACCTTATCTAAGCTGTATTAAATTGGGCAGTACATTTCGTCCATCCAGGGGATCATTATGTGTTCTTGTTGCTAGTTACGAACAGCTTACAAATACCACTCAGTTCATTCTCAGCTCTTTTTAATATCGTAAAACCAGAAAGATTCAAAAGGTTGTTATTATGGTAGATACTCTACACATTACCAAAGTGGGAAGAGAAGGGATGCGATAGTTTCTTCTTTTAAAATAACTGTTTGCTGCTAAAGAGCCTGATCCTGCACTGTAAATGTGTGGTCTCACACCTACATTTATTTTTAAAAGAAGGAACCTACAGAGAGAAGTTTCTCCATTAAATGTTTAATTACACTTCTTTCAATAAACCAGAGAGACTTGTCTTACTGAACAGTTCTGTTCTCAGATCTCCCACTTAAAATATCATGTGACTTTAGGTTAATTAGTTAAAGGCTGTGACTTGTTTCCACTATCTGTAACAAAGAAATAATTCCTATATACATTGAACTGACTCTGAATAATATATGTGGTTTTGTGATTCTCATCAAAAGCACCGAAAACTAAGGTCAAGTTTTGCGTTTAATTTTCGTTATCAATACCCGACTTTCAAAATAAAAGGAACCTGGAATAAAAATAGTGTGTCTCCTTTGGTTGCATTCGTTTTTAATCAAAATCAGATTGGTCAACTTTTCTTGAAAATACGTGTGAAGTTTTTCAAGGCTTCTAAAAATGCACAAGCTTACTGACGGTGCAGGCTACTTATGCTGCCTTCCACTTGTGCCATTAGGAATATGATTTTTGTAGGTAACATTAAAAAAACCACAAATTTGTATGATTCCTGTTGTCGGTTAATTCATAGGAACAATAGATGAGTGTTTACCTGGCAAGCTTCTTTACAGGTAAAGCTGAATTTTTCATGTCTGACAGAAGAGTGGTATTAAATACACAAGCTCAGCCTCCACCATTTCTCTATTAAATTGATCTGGGGAATAAACAGATTTGTTAGTCTTCAAAGAAGTTCTGTCTTCATTTCTGCAGCCATATTCATCTGTTGAATTTCCACTGTCAACATTTTCATTCTGTGTCACAGCTCTTCTTTTAGTAGTACATTCACATGTAGTTAATAAAGCAGTTTGCAGTTGTTTTTGCCTGAAATGCTTTTTAGATGTGTTAAAAATTTGTTTGTTTACATATCTATGGTTTTATTTAGCGGGACTTGTAAGCTAATACAAAGACCTGGGGGACAGCCTGCATCAGAAACATCAGAAACTCTTCAAGAAAACACAAAGCCTCCATCAGGGTCCATTATGGAGCCAACAAATGTACAAGTTCTTCAGAGGCTGTCTGGCCCATCGTGTTTTGTAGGGTTGCTGTATCCAGTCATCTTCATGACCAGGCTGGGAGTTCAGTTTCTTTGAAGACGCCTTGTAACAAATGGGTTGCAGTCATAAATCACATTTCACTTCGTCTCTTCAGTTTTTCATGAGATGTCTGACCAAGAATTTGTTGGGAGTTTGTGGACTGCTCAAACGAACCACATCATTCACTGGATAATATCTTTTCACTGGGTCCCTCTACTGTCCTCTATCTGAACTGACTTCAGGTATAGTGAGAGATTTCTATGAAAAAGAGTCAGAGTTTGCCTCTTTGCTACATTTTTGTAAAGTCAGATCAGAAATCTTGGAAAACGCAGACACTAAACCGAAGATATATACCCAATGCACATAACTGGCCTTAAAATAGCAGGTTTCTGATAGTCTTCGGACCCAGATAGCACAGTAACACTATATAAAGTGCAGCCTGGTGTATCACTGAAGGCTGTGAAATGTACCAATTTATATTACCTAATTACAATTAGAGAAATCTCTTTGCTTAGTACCTTTTGCCAGTTTAAAGTTCAAGCAGTTTTCAAAATGCTTAGTTCTTTATCTATGGGAAAGAAGATATATATCAGGTATGATACACACATATGGATCCTCACATAAAATCCTGCTAAAGGCAGTATTATCTACATAAATACGTATTTTTACTAATGATCTTGACTGCCAGGTTTTTTTATGCTTTCGTCCATCATCCTGAAAAACAAGTGAATTAGGTTCTCTACTTCAGATCATGCAGTTGAAACTGACTGTTGGAAACTACGGGAAAAACAAACGTGGAGAGAAAAGCTTGTAGAGTGTACCACAAAGCAGGTGTGTCTCCAAATATAAGAGCAGGTACACAGTCAGGGAGATTCAGAGCAGATACTACAAAACCTGGCAGAAATGTACCTGGTTGAGGAGAATCTGTATTTCAGAGTGAGGAATAGAGGACTCTTGTGGCAGCACGAGTCTTACTGCGCATTCTGCTGGCTAGAGTCTTCAGCACGGAGCATGAATAAATCAGTGCCACTTAGAGAGTTAAGTTGATTTTTACTCTGTTTAGATCAGAATTTTTACTTGCGTGTTTGAAAATACATAAACCAGGGAACATAGAGGGGATGTAAAGGTAAGAGAAGTGGAGTAGCAAGTGTGCAACACTTTCACCATTTGCTATATGTTGCAGGAGTAAGCATATAAGTGTTAGGAGAACTTGCAGGGTTTAAAGAATGAAGGTAATGGTTTAATTGGGAAAGTGTCCATCTTTCTCTCTGCCTTCTTGTTTTTGTGTAATGTGGTAGCTGAATAGCGTCACCGAGGCAAAATTATTACAAAGCAACTTCAGATCTTGCTAAACAGGAAATTCTTACTGACTTCAGAGGGAGTTGAATGCTGACTCCAGTCAGTGAATCCTGCTCTTTGCTCATGCATCCCAAAGTTGTAAAAATTTGTTTGTCCTGCCCTTAGGACCAGGTGGGCTTAGAATAAAACATTATTACATAGAGATGTGGTGTTTCCGATACTAAAAAACTTCTTGGTGTCACAAAGTGTAACAACCAACATTAACCATCTGAAAGTTAGGTGCCTACTCAAAGTGAGTCGACACTCGGAGGAGTCAGGCACATTCAGAGAGGGATTAATCTCACACTAAAATAGATGCCTAAACTAGATCAGATAAACTTCCCTCAGGATTTCCTTATTCTGTTGACTGTAGAAGGAGCCCAGTGATAGCTGAGGTTAAATTCCTCCCCACAAGTGTCTGATTCTGAGTGGAAGTCTGGTTTGTCTTTTCCACTTCTATTTTAGAGTAAGACCTTTGGAATTTTTTTTCTTAAAATTCATTTGTTTTTTGCAAAAGGTTATCAGACTTTTTAGGAATGGCTGGTACTTTTACCTTCAGACTCTTAATTAGTCAGTATTTTAAGACTGTAATTTATGCTTTGATGAATCGTGTGAAAAGTGGTATTCTGTGTAATATTAGATGAAGTAGTTTCTTCTAAAAGTAAACTTCAGCAGACGTATTTCTTTTTTTCGTCTGTTACATTTACTATGCAAAGGCTTTCAGGATAGACTCAAGTAACAGAAATATTAGAAAAGCTTTTCGTCTTAAGATTTGTTCATGATTTATTTTATTAATAATAATAATATTATTTTTGCTGATTTACAGAAGACTGGACTGTCCTTCAAACATCTGACAAAGCCGTATTTACATGCCAGCTTGCTATTATAGACAGAAAAAACATTTGAATTTTGCTAGACAAGCGAGTGGATGCTTTTTCATGGGTGGAAAACTTGGCCTGCTGAGAGCTGTTTGACCGTGCCCTGGTTAGCTCAAGCAGGGGTTTCACACGGCGTGTCTGCTGCGGCGGCTCGGCACATACCTCGGGCTCTTCACGGGACTTTTCTCTCTCACATATACAACCACACATACTTGCCGTGTCTTCCCCACTCGCACATGTATTCCCGAGAGCTTCTGTGTAGGTGGGTGTTTATGCGTGTGTACACACTTCAGCTCAGTGTATGATCAGTGGACAATAAAGCTGTGTCCAGAAGAGCACCTACACAAAAATGCATTCTTAAATTTTAGTAGTTGAACAATAATCTTATGACAAGGTTTCTCAACGTTCAGTTTTCAGTTAGGAGTGACTGAGAACATGTTTCTCTCTGCAGAGACCGGCTGACTAAGGTGGCAGCCCTTGCTCAGTACTCCCGTATGTCTGTGGCATTTTTTTTTCCTGTATAAATCAGACCCCCTCAGACTACCTGAGCAAGAAAGGTTTTCTTGTACTGAACTGATGTATTGCACAAATATTTTTCCAGGCTAAGTGTCTTTATTGTGTAAAACGCTTACTGTTTTAAGATACTTATTTTACTGTCTGCTTTAATCATATCTTTTGAAATAGTCTCAATAGATTTTTCTATTCGTAACATTATGACACTTGATAAGATGATTGATTATGAAGTGTTGAGAGCCCTGCCATGTGATCATTTATTTTTAAATACACATTTGTACTAGCCAATGCTTAAATTTCTTACAGGAATACATAAGAGATGCGAAACGTAAAGCTTGAGTCTGATCGAATCTGATGCCTCTGGAAATAGAGTGCCACAGTACTGTGGTCTTAAAATAACGGAATCTGACTGAAACTGGAACTTTGCAGTGATAAATATTATGTAAAAAATTATGGTCCATCTTTGCTACAAAATAAAAAAGACGTACAGCTGTGGTGCCGACGAACTAAAATGTGTTTGACGATGATATCTTTCTTTCCCTGTGCAGGTGCCTGTGTCAGTGGCCATGATGACTCCCCAGGTGATCACCCCTCAGCAAATGCAGCAGATTCTCCAGCAGCAAGTGTTGTCTCCGCAGCAGCTTCAAGCACTTCTCCAGCAGCAGCAAGCAGTTATGTTGCAGCAGGTAATGTGGGTTACCTGCTTTGGACCGTTAGCACAGGGCATTCGCGCAAGTGTCAGACAGATTTTATGGGTCTTATTTTGTAATACTGCATCACTCATTACACCAAAAAGAATGAAAATAAATGTGAAACTTTGCAGTCTTTAAATTTCTTGTTTTAATTGCAGAAGTGTGAAATTGCGATTTTGAAACATTAAATATTATATTACAAACAGCAGCAGCAGCAGTGGCAGATGCATTACAAATACCGAACAAATTGATATTTAAATTTTCAAGTGCTTAGGCACATTTTAATTGTAGACTTGCCAAAGGAGGTGCAAATAGAGTTGTAGATAATTGCTGCTTTAAAATTCATAACACTGTAGTGCTCCCTTTAGTCACATAAATGGTATGCGGTTATGAAATTTGAACTTAACAACTTGTTTCATCATGGGAAAAAGTTTTTTTTTATTTTGTTTGTTTTTACATCCAAAAAAATCGTCCCAGATAAGGCTAAAAAGAAGAAGGAGATTGCTGTTGCCTTAGGACAAAATCTGGCAGCTAAGTGAAGAATCCATGAAACTTATTCATATAATAAAGAAAGTGTCAGTGATCAGTACCTCGAGTGTAAGGCAGAGTGGATTTTTGGTTGGGTGCTTAATTGTCATACAGAAAATGATGTGTCTGTTTGTCGTAGTCATAGCTCAATCACTGTATGTTTAAACACTTTAATATCCAGGACCATGATCATTACAGGCAATTCACCTTCAGCTGCGAATCCAGCATCCCGCTAAACAGATTGACAGATTAATTACTTTTTCCCCCTAAGAAACAGACAGTTTAGTTTGGCCTTAGTGACTTGTAGGTTTCTTGCAAGTGGATGAGTACAGCTTCTGATTTGTTATATAGGACATGTGAGGAACTTGGGTATAGTTATTTGAGGAGTTAATTTGGCTCTTGCATTCCCTTTAGAATACAGATTTTCTATACCCTTCTGTTTAGGATATTTTGGAATCTGCATTGGAAAATTTCAGAACCGCCTTGGAAAAAAATGTATGTAGATCTGCCTCTTCAAATCACATTTTTGTTATGAGGTGATTCTTAATGGCTACGCTACCATATGCCAATCTAGAAGAGTTTAGGAGATTTATAATACTTGAAACTTTTGCCTTTATTTATTAAAGTCAAAATGGTTTATTCAGCAACAACTACAAGAGTTTTACAAGAAACAGCAAGAGCAGTTACATCTTCAGCTTTTGCAGCAGCAGCAACAGCAGCAGCAACAGCAACAACAGCAGCAGCAACAACAGCAGCAGCAGCAGCAGCAGCAGCAGCAGCAACAGCATCCAGGAAAGCAAGCAAAAGAGGTAGGAGCTAAGAGCCTTGCTGATGCGTACTAGTCTGAGCTGCCAGGAGCTTGGAAAAGACAAGCCTAGTTTAGATTTTTTCCTGTAGCAAGGATGCAGCTATCAAAGATTTGTTCTTATGTTTTTACCGGGCTTAATAGCAGGGCCAGTATAATTCTCCGGCTCCCCTTTCCGAGACACAGGATTTGAGCAGTCTGGTGCTGCCGTCGTCTAGCGTTCGCTAACGAATCCGAGTGTGCAAAGAGCAAGCCGTGTGGTGGACGCTGTACTGGCTATCATGTATTCACGGGCAATCTGCGTTGGGGAGGGAGCCTGCCTTTTCTCAGTGGCACAGCTCAGAGAGCATGCAAATTTAGTCCGTGGCTGAAAAAGAGCGATTGAGCACAGATTTCAAAGTCACAGGCCCCTGATTAATGAACTGCTACTGTAGGTTTGGAGTGGCGAGTAGAAAGTTACAGTTTGATGTGCTCATAAATCAACCTGACAAGCGGGTTTCTCAGGCCTAGCTTGCACTTGTCAGCAAACTGCATCAAATATAAACATAATACAAACAAAACGCGTCGAAGTAGTTAAATTGATCAGCAGGTATCCTAGACATTGTCTTCAAGCTGCCCATTATGCAAACGTTGAGGAAGCAGTTGTGACCTCCTGAGGCTTTGTTTCTGTTTGGATTTGTGAATAGAATTTCAGACAGCCATCAACTACGGAATAGAAATTGCTCCCGTATTTCTCCGGAGGCTCTGGGCAATCCACATGACTTGCTCCATTATGCAGTCTGTTTTCCAGTGAGCGCATCAGAAGTTTCTCTTTTCCCCAAACTAGAAAGGAAAGGTCTTCCACAGCAGCTTGTCTTTCCCTGAAGTGTGACTGCCTTCTCGTACCCTCCTGAGTCTTTGCAGGCTCCGGTTTGTCTTGAAATGCCTGACAAAATTGGAACTTAACACTTTTGCTCCATAATCGGGCACTTCTTTGCCTCAAATGCAATGCTGCTTTTAATATATTCCAACAAGAAAAGGGAGAGAGCTAACAGGCCAGTGAAACGAAGGCTACATCCCAGTTTACTAATAGATCACTGGAGACCATGTTCATGGGCCACTGCGGACCAAACTTAGTCAATTGGAAAAACAAGAGCGCCTTCAAATCGCAGGCTGCTGTGAAGAGTTACACTTTTAGCATAGATAAATTTGTTATCATCTGCCATGAGCTGGACTTTTTTTTTTTTGTTTGAAACAACTGTTATATACTTTCTCTTGACCCTCTTCTTTAGTGTGTCATTAAGTGTATTTGCCATTTTCCCTAACACCTAATAGCTTGAATGAATATAATAGAAAATTTCAAATGCTTTCACTGCCTGAGTATTCTACAAATAGCATTATTATTTAATAACTGAGATTAAAGGGAAAGAAGTTGATTTTACATTTTTGGTTTTCTAGCCTTCACTGCACGCTTTACTCTCTGCTGCATTTGCCTTTCTCCCCCCCCTTCTCTCTGTAACAGCAGCAGCAGCAGCAGCAGTTGGCAGCCCAGCAGCTTGTCTTCCAGCAGCAGCTCAGTGCAACAACCTCAGCCAGCAGCAGCATCTGCGGAACCTTCAGCGTCAGGGACTCATTTCCATCCCACCTGGCCAGTCTGCTCTTCCTGTCCAGTCTCTGCCACAAGGTAGTCGAGTAATATATGATTGGAGTAATTTCTAATTCACAACTTTTTTAACTGTTCCATTTGCATCCGAACTTCAGCATTTTCCCGTTATGATGCTTAAACATACTGCATTATTAGAACTTTATTACTCATATTACCAAATTTTCTTGAGGCTGATAAATTTTACAGCATACTTTTATGGAAGAAAACAGCTTTTGAGTGTTTTTTCTTAGGTATAAGATGTATATTATTAGCCTTATATGCTGAAAACAATTTCTAATAGGAACACAATTCAAGCACCTTTGCTTTTCTCTGAGGAATTACTGAAAACTGGTTTAGTGGAAAAGTTATAATTTCACTTAGTATAAACGAACAGAAAAAAATATATGAGACAGTGATACTAAAGCCATTCCAAAACTAATTTTTTTTTTTTTCCCCCCTTCTAAGAGAAGAAAGTGTTTGGCACTGAAAAGCCCTTTGAATCTTCTATTTATGACATGTGAATTTAGGGACAAACCTTAGTATCCGTTTTCTTTGCTATTCCTTTGTATTAAACATGTTAAATACGACAAGTTTTGAAGGTGGTGATTCCAATAGGAATGACTTATGACCCACAAATAAACATATAGACTTTAAAAAAAAAAATTCCTTTCTCACTTTGATCAAGATTTCTCAATGCTGAAAATGAGTTCAAACTCTACTACTTGACACAAGTACAGTCATGGTTGAAAGAAAATAGGGCACGCACTTTTGAAAAGTAAATTAACTTGGAGATAAATGCTGCTTACATTTTAAGATAAGGCCAAAGACTTCCCATCTTAAGGACTCTGTCTATAACCTACGAGTTATGTGTTTCAGTTTGTGTTACCATAGAGAGGTGAGCTAAATGTCTGTCATAAAAGTTACACAATACTCTGATCTCTGACGCTCCAGTCCTGCAGTAAGCATTGTTTAGACTGTGTTCATGACAGGTAACATTACTTTTAATTGGTCTTTACGCATGTATCTGGTTCCTCCACCAGATAACTATTACAAAATTGAAGCTTCAAAAATTGCATGAGCAAAAGCAGAGTACACAGTATAGAGAAAAAAAAAGGACATGACAAATAATTGTGTAAGTTGTGTGGAAAAACTATGACACGAGCATATCTAAAGTCATAAAAATTACAAAAACAACAGTAAGTTGTAACTATCTGTAAGTAAGCTATCACACTAAATATTATTATTTGAGAATAGCAGAGGGGAGGCAAGCTGGTTCATGAATTTGGACATGTGAGACACTAATGCTGGTTTCCTTCTGTACAACGTCACGTTGGACCAGAATGGAAAAAAGCAATTGAAACACAACCTCCCCCCGAACAGCTTTACCTTCTGCAACCTCCTCTTGTGCCATCTGTTGCAAAAGGAATTCCTCAGGTTTTCTCTCACATTAAGCAATCCCCATAGATTTCCCTCAGCACTCCTACCCAATTGCATTGATATTCATTAGTTTAATGCAACACTCATTCATCCACTTCTAGTAGAAAACCGCAGAAAAAATAATACCTTTTAAAGTAAATTTTTAGGAGAACTAGTAAACAGTTCTTTTTAAGAACTTTCTTTTACTCAAAGAATTAAGCATAACTGAAGTCATGACAAAAAAGACTGATACTAAAGAAATAAACAAATACAAAATTTTACAGTTAAAATATATCTGGATTGTTCTTTTTAAAGTAAATTAATCTCTTGTTTGCTTCTGCCTTGGTATTTTTTAATTATAATGAATTCCAGTCAAGTATTTAATTCCACCATTTTTCTCTCCTGGTTCTAGTATCTACTGTGTATGTAGGGTCTCTTTAGATACACAAGTTAATTTATAGGACCGTGATTTTTCATAGCCCCGATATGGGTGTGCAAACTAAAAAAAACACAGGACAGCTTCCCCTGGAAAACCTCTCTGCATCTCCAGAAAGGCTACTCACTCTGTGCCAGATGAGGTGAAGTTAAGAGTGATGAGGGTAAGAAGGAAAGTCTTTCCAGCAAGATGCTGAAACAAATGGAAAACCAAAAGCACAGTTTTGACTGGCTCAGAGTTCTTTCTGCGGGCTTCTCTTACAGCACATCGTGTTTTTCATAGGAAGGTACAGCACCCGCTCCAGTTCATAACAATGTAATGAGATTAATAGGCTGAGAGACTTACTCATAAATCTTAAATTTACACATCCAAATATATCCAATATTTACAGATCCAGGTAGTACTTACTAGATTTAACATAGATGTCCCTGCATTGGGGTTTGCATAAAAGTAAGAAGTTTTTCTCATAAAATCTGGTAAACTTTGTGATAGATGTGGCAATATTAAATTAAACCTTCAGAATTTATTTAAGGTAATACACAATGGATGTAGTCAAGGGAAGTTTTTCTCCTTCCACTGTTCTGCAAGATGTATAATATGGTTATACAGGAGGATTTACACACATGTAACACAAATGTTTTTATATGCATCCATTTAGAATGCTTAGTTACATGGATGGTTAGGACAATGAGAGAAACACAGGGGGATTCATATTTATAAGTTACTGGTGATAAAGAGTCCTGTAAATGACAAATTATCAGTGACAGAGAGAGCATGGGTTTTGCATTTGTAAGTATGAAAAGTCGTAACTTCCACATACAGCTGTGAGTTTTGCATGTGTAAACACTGTTTGCTCCAAGTATAGTTTCTGGCTTTAAAGGACAGGAATGTTTACCATGTTTTCTTGATGGTGTTTAAACCTGGGCTGAGGTTTAGCACATTAAGATAAAAGGGGTGTTTTAACATTCATTTTGTGAGAAGATCTTCACTATACCATATCCAAAGCCATTGGCTTGCTGTGAGTTACTTCCATTTAATGCTGCATTGATGCTAGCTAAATGCAAAGGACTGTAAATGACAAAAAAAAAACCAAACAAACAAACAAAAAAAAACCCCAAAAAAACCCCACAAACCCCAAACCCAAAACCCTAAGTTTTGATCAGGCCATGTAGGAAAATGAAAACAGATGCATGGGTGGGTTTTATAAGTGGTAGTTTAATTAGGTATTTATTCAAACATAAAAATAGAGTAGATAACGGTGAAAAGAGTTACAAAATGAACCTCAAAATCCTGGAATTCTTGGTGTTCTAGACTGCATAGCAGATCAGTATTCTCCCTTTTGATTATAGTACCTAATTTTTATCCCACTCTGGATCCCCTTCCTGATCCTTTCTCCTTTAATGTAGTGTAGAGAGGGTATTCTGAGGGTTATCACAACCTATGAAACTTTAAAACTTACTCTATTTTTACATCCAGACTAAAATATCTGTCAGCCATTTTACAGGTCTCCTGTAAAATGGGAGTTGGACTTTTTTAGACACAGAAACTACAAAATTGCCATAATTTACAATTAATTACAAATCTGCTTATTAACTTTATACTTTTTAAGTGCCTGCCCTTAATCCTTTTATCCTAAAAGGCAGCCTTTCAGAGTGCTCTGAAGAGGTGATAAAATTAACCAGCCTGAGCCCAGAGAGAAATTTCTTTCTGATTTTGAAAAAATCTAGGTGAGCTAGGCAGCTTGGAGACACAGCTCCCATAGCTTCACGCAGAGGAAGGGGCTGCCCAGCAGTTGCCGCGAGGGGCAGGAGACGCCTGCCCATGGGAAGGGCCGTTGCTCCAGCCGCTCCCAGCCCTCCTTCGTTCACCCACCTTCTGGGCAGCTTTTACTCAGCTTTCCCAGGGCACAAAGTTTGATGATGTCTGATGAAAATTTTCTCGCTGCAAGACACAGTGATATGTTTGCCCTCTGATTGTTCAAACAGATGGGTTTATTCCTGAATTTTACTTTTTTCAGCATAAAGTTAGTTTATTTTGTTCAACAGCAGGAGGAAGGGAAGACTTCGAAGTAAATAATGTACTGTGTATATGATGCCACCTAAGTGAATATATTACTTTTCGTTTTGATTTGTGATTACATTTGCAGGTAACTTTCATTTACCACACTAAAATGGGTTATTTGCAGTGTTGCTGGAACATACTTCATGAACACAGCAGTAATTACTTACCTTCATTAAACAATTACAACTAGTATTACCATCACTCCTGCTACTCATATCTCTAATGCAGTAAATCTGAGCCTGGCTTCTTTGCTTGCTTCCTTAAAACCTAGCTTTTCACTGTAAAAATATGATACAAACTCCAGTTTTAAGGCTTACATTCCAATCAACTCTTTTTCACTTCGTCATTAGCTGAGTTTGCCAATGGGTGTTAGTATCTAAGGTAGAGAAGCAGGACACAAAATAGTAGTCTAAAAATGAGCTCATTCCATAAGTGTAAAAAAATTGAATACCTTCCAACCAATTTGTTTCCATACTACCTCCAGAAATTATTATTTATGTAAATCACTACTAGTCTATTTTTCAATAGCTTTCTATACTTCGTGGTGAGACAGCTATTGAAACGTTTTAAGGAACTTACTGTGCTTTTTCATAATTTTTTGTTGAATCCATTTTAGTAGCCTGAGTTTCTACTGAGTTTTACTTCAAAGTAAAACATTATCTAATAAACAGGTTTGCCAAACAGTGAAAAACAATCTTTCCATCTTTTTAATGTATCTTGTTTACCAAACAAAACTATCCCCAATGAAAAGTTTGAATGAATAGATACATTTTAATACTTTTCTGAAGGACAGTAATTTGAGCTCTTTCATAAAATAGAAAGAGCAAAAGTTTGATTCGGACAACATCAGCATTTTGAATGTTTTTCATTCCAGCAGATCTAGATACTGTGAGCATGTCTTACTCAATTTCACTTGTTGAAATGAAATACAGAAGATAGAATTAGATTTTAAGATACCTCTGGCCCAAACCATGTCAGGCTGAAAAACCTGGCAGTGAAACCAGGTCTTTCACAAGGAGCTCTCTGGGCTTCTCATTCTTTTCTACATTTAATTTAATGTTCTTTGAAAGTGAGGTGTCAAACTTAAAGAGACCAAAGGTGTATATATTTATGATGAACTCTTCATCTTTCAAAATCTGAATTCCCTACCTTGGCTGCGTATTCGGTGGCAAGATAAGAGAATGCTCACAGCTCCAGGCAGAAGCATATTGTAATGGAAGTTTCCATGACTTCGTGCAAAGTGCTCGAGCCAGACAACCCTAACACAGATGTATGAATACGTTCTATGAGACATCGCTATCTGTGGCTGAGGATGAATCCTGGAAACTACAAGTTTCCAGGCTACAAGTGGAGTAGAGAGCAAATCTCAGCTCTATCTGCAAAGATCTGGTGGCTAGACTCCAGAATAGTACTCTGCATATAGCAGAGAAGTTTGAGAAGCTCTTCAAATTTTGTACGGCTGCCCATCACCCCAGGAGACTGGTGAGACAGAGTCTCCTTTCTCCTAGCCAAACCCTCCTATTTGTTTTCCACAGTAGGGCTGGACAAAAAAATAGTGGAGGAATTTGATGGTCTACACTACATGTAATTTCATCTGTGTAGAGGGAGTTGTAAATGGGCCGGTTTTGTTGGCTTTCTAGTTGTCTGATGCCACTGAATGGTACCAAAAAGCTTAAGCTTAAGTGGTTTTGTTCTTCCAAATAGTCACTTTGATTTTGCCTCTTAAGACACGGAAGAATTTTTGTAGATACTAAACAGGACTAATGAATATGTGGGTGTCATTAATTAAAATCAGATGAATTCTGCTCAAATGTTAAACCTGTTATGATCTCATTGATTTAATTTTTGTCTTCTGATTTTTCTCCCTCCAGTCTTCTTCCCCCACTCCCAGCTCTTTTTAAGTGTTTAAAGAGAGTATCGATGTTTGTATCCTTAGTGTAATATGTTTTTCTATTTTCCTTTATGTTTGATTAAGAGGAATTATAAAAGCTAAGTTAACTGTGGATGCATTGAGTTAAGTTTACATGTCAAGAAACTGATTATGCAGACAACAAAATTCTTTTCTGGAAGTATATTTAGGTTTGGATGGTTTTTTTCTTTTCAAGAAGTAGTTGCAAATTCTTTGTAGCTTTCACTCTTTGGTCCTTGAGCAATTTTTTCAGGAGGAGTATAATATTATTAAAATCAGTGATTTCTAATTGACTGTTTATAACACAAGAGAAGACAGTCAGGTTACCTGGATTCTGACAGAATAAAAATGAATTTATGTTTTACTGCACATTGATTGTGCTGGAAAAACAGCATCAGCTTTATTGTTGGCATTAATCCATTAATAACACTGAGCTCATTATATGAAACTCTTTATTTTGTTATATTAGTGGGGCTTTCTTTCATTTTATAGCTGGCTTAAGTCCTGCTGAGATTCAGCAGTTATGGAAAGAAGTGACTGGAGTTCACAGTATGGAAGACAATGGCATTAAACATGGAGGGCTAGACCTCACTACTAACAATTCCTCCTCTACTACCTCCTCCACCACTTCCAAAGCATCACCACCAATAACTCATCATTCCATAGTGAATGGACAGTCTTCAGTTCTAAATGCAAGGCGAGACAGGTAATTCTGACAAGATTTCAACTGTGCTTTTCCTTTGACGTAAAGCTGTTGTTTAGAATCATAAGTCACGTTATTGCCAATCACAAAATAACACTTAATACAGGTTACTTAAGAGATCGTGGAGACCTGATTTTTCAGAATTGTTTCTCAATAGGGCATCATTTTTCAATAATGATGTCTAATTTGCATTTGCAACAATGATTACCTGACTGTGGTTTTATAACACAGGAACTTACGGTAGTTTTGGTAAAAATTAGAAAACCCTAATTTTCAGCCCACCAGAGTGGGCTGGCTTAGAGATGTAAATGGAGATTTGTGGGCACTTCTGTAGGCACATAGTTTCATTCACATTTGAGTTAACACATACGGCAGTCAGGCCCTTACTGCTGAATCACACTGGTGGTTTCATAGAATATGTACATATATCTAGTTGTCAAGGCTGTAATTCAGTGCAAGGATTCCATGTAAAAATTAGTGCAATAAAGCAGTTCTTACATTGTTTGTCTCTTGTGAAGAAAACCACTGAATCTTCCTTCTTATATGCACAACAGTAACTCAGTTGACACATTGCATACAAATTTTCAGTGGCATTAGTGTAATACAGTGGAATTCAACCATACGGATAAAGTTAAAATAATTTTTCAGACACATTGACAGATATTCTTCACTGTTCCTTATTTTCACGTAATGGATTCAATGCATACAAGGTAGCAGTTATTAGGAAATATATTCATATAGTCAGATGTACATGATCTCAATATAAGATGAAATTTAATTTGTACCTACATAACCTAAATTGTTAATAATTGTATTTTCAAATAAACATTCTATTTAATTATTTTAATACTTATAAGAGGAGACTATACATTAAGCATCTCTGGTCCTCATGTGACCGTGAGAGCATTTTTTGTATTATTTAAAAACTGGTACTTCTCTGAATACCTTTATAGTAGTACTTTTAGTTAGCACTAGTTTTGTGATTATATCTGAGAGAGTGGTTCTTTCCTTCAAGATGTGTAGCTGATGCCTACCTTAATGGGGCAGTTCCCTCCGTTTCTTTGATAACGGCACGTGGATGATGCTATTGCAGAGGTTCCAAAAAATGACATGGAATAGAGCTGGGTTTTTTATGAAGCCAAGTAGCTAATGGAAGCAATGCTTGTGAACAAAAATATTTGTTAATGGAAGCAACTTTATTTTTATACACATTTAAGCAGAAAACCCAAACGTTTTGTAGTAACATTCACAATATTAATAAATTCTGACTGTCTGTCTTCAATATTTCTTCTCAGAATTGATCACTTCTGAGTATATTTTTTATTTATAGGTAAATGTTACACCAAGGTCATATGGCAGAATTAGCATATGGTATTATACAGTCATCTTATTTTTTCATCCTTTATTAACAGTCATCTTTGGCTCTATTTCTTCTCTAATTGGAACATCATCTAGCCTTGGCAGTTGAACTATTCAATAGAACGATTAAATTTTTCTGACTGCTCTGAGCTAAATTGACCTGTTTTGACCTGTTTGTCACTGATCGTAACCTGACAGGCGCTAGCAGCCTCCAACGATTATGGCTTTTGAGATGAATCTGATGCCTTATTCTTTTGCTACAGCTCGTCACATGAGGAGACTGGGGCCTCCCATACTCTCTATGGTCATGGAGTTTGCAAATGGCCTGGCTGTGAAAGCGTTTGTGAAGATTTTGGACAATTTTTAAAGTAGGTGGATTTTTATTCATTGGTACAGGGTTGTTTAAGGCAAGGGAAGGAGAAAGAGGGCAAACAAAGTTTTTCTGTAAATCATGTCAGAGATTTTTTTGTGTATTCCAAGTAACTGGATAATCGAGGCTATCTGCAGAGGGTCAAACTGTTATCCTTTCTTTCATGTCGAACACTTTTGCAGGCCTTTCAGTAGCACAGTGTTTAATCCTCTTATTATCCTTTACTGAAATGGAGCCTCAGAAAATTTGAAGAGATGCTTTAGATTCTGTATTGGATAGTAGGGGTATGAAAAAGCACGTTCTAATTTCTAACAGTTTGTGTATAGTGGGAATTAATGTGTATAGTATAAATAAAAAAGCACAAAGGACAAAGTGTGACCATTTAACTCTCACTTGCTAATTTATTTTTGCTTTTACTCTTGTACGTGCACAAGATATACACAAAAAAAGCACTGTGAACAGCTGGGTTTGCACCTTTCAGGACTGAACAGTGATGTCAAAAGTTTTCACTTCTAGTATTTGGTTTTGCCAGCTATTGTCTAAATCAGGGCATTTAGAAAATAAGTGACACAGCTTTTGCTTTTCATCTGCAGCTTCAAACTGCAATGGGTTTCTGCATTTATTTCCCTTTTTTTTTTCCCCCTGAAGTAGTTACTAATATTTCTGTGTTCATTTGAATTTTCAACAAGAGCACTGATTTTCTACCTATGTACATTATGGACTGGTCTTTGTCAGAAGAGCCATACTCATTTTGGCATGCAATAGATCTTAATGGAAAGCTACAGATAGGCTTATATAGATGAGTAACTTCAGGGGCTGAGACTCTTATGTTGTCATGGTGCAGCTAACAGGGTGAATGAACTGTTTCATGCTTCATCAACAATTAAGTTAATTAGCTCATTTGAAATTGCACTGCTTTGTTGCCAGGATGTTGGCAGAAACATCAAAAAGATGTGTTTACAAATGGTAGACTACAGGGTATATAAGAGAAGCACCTTAACAGCAGACCATAAGTACTCAGTATCGCACTAACTTTTATATTAGAATTATAGCAATACTTTTCATAAAGTATTTGCAATACTTTCTCCATCTTTCCTGCTGTCTTTCAGTTTTAAATGAAGTAACTATAGTGATTTGAAAATCTTAGGTATAGGTATCACCCATGAGAAATTTTTGTTTATAAGTGCATTAAGTGGAATGTCCAAATAAGGGCTTCTTATTGGAGAAAACTATATAGGATTTAGAAGAACCTGATTTACATAAGTTTGTATTAAAAGGAAAATGAAATCTCGCAAATTCAACGTAGTGTTCAAAGTATTATTAATACTAAGAATATAAATTCATTTAACCCAGGCATTCTCCCTTTCAAGAAAAAACACATTTTCTAAATACGTCCATCCTTCTAGGCTATAGTGATGCTAATTCTGCGGGCAGACTTTGCACATCCATTATGTCAGGTCTCTTGTTATAATCCACGATCACTAAAACCATTTTGATTAAGGCGGTGTAGTGCTAGGTTTACAGATGCTCTTCCTTTCGTGAACCAAATAACCCTGGAAAATGCGAAAGCGACATATAACATCTTGATAATTCTGGTGACGAGTCGGTCAGGGTTTACAGCAGTGTCATGGCTTTTGTCCTATGCATCAGCAAAAAATGTTCGAGAATATTTGATTATTTCTTCTTTTCATTCAATTCTGTCTTCTATGCCCTTAAAACAAATAAGAAGTCATGGTGCTGAATAGGCAAGGTTGTTTATGAAATAGAAATATTCCTTCATTTTACACAAGCGTTAAGATGGAAATCAATACATAACCTTGCGTTAGATTCTTTAGTACCTTTTCATGTTCACACTAATGCA